TCTTTTAATTCCACAGGAATTATTCTTGTAAACACTGCTTCTCAATTAATGGCATATGTAGATACTTGCTTTATTCTAACCTGTACATAAAACCAAGAAATTTCTTAATAATTTTAGTACAACAACAACAATTTAAGAAAAGCTCCTTATTCTTTACGAATTTTTACGTTTTGTAGAACAAGTTATTATTTATTTTAAAAAGTATGGTGTGGTTTGGGGATTCTTGAACCCGATATGAATGCTTTTGGATGATCATTTAAAACGATTCTGTCCACAACAAATTAGTTATCTATGGGGATACACTAGATCAAAGATTTCATAAGAAAGTGCTTAAAACCATCCGACATGCACCTTAGTAGTAACGACCTCAATAGGGATCTGAACTCTGTTGCCGCGACTAAGAAGCTTAAGAAAGTTGCTAAGAGTCATGAAGAAAGACTTCCTCATCATTAAGGTTGAGGCCATATAGCTCCTTAATAATGTTGGATTACAAAGAAGAAAGGTTGTTGTAGCAGGATTGATTGTTTATGAGACGTCAAGTTACGAATTATTCGTGTATTTCTTGGCATGATTACTTATCTGCACATTACTGAATAAGCCCTGAACTGGTAGTACATTTAGTATAGTTGGGTCTTAATTGACCCAGCTCTAAATTTGGAGAGAATGGGAATTTTGCTACCTAGAATAAGAGTTTTTACGCATCTTTACATTGACTACACAAAATTCCTTTACTTTTCATTTTCAATTTTCTCAGTGGGTGTTAATTATTACATAATTACCTCATTTGTAAGGACATACTCAAACTTTGGATGAAAATCTTCTGTTCATCTTCAAACCTTTAACAATAACCTGCTATATTCAACATTATGTAAAACATAGCAAGAGTTATCGCCTCGTTCTGCGATTATATGAAAGCATTGCCACATTCTGATTTAAAGAGTCAACACCACAATTTGTAGAGTTGTGGAAGCTAACGATTTCCGTTTTTTTTTTCGTTTCTATTTTAGTTGTTGATTGGTCATGCTGCGAGGATGAAACTAGAAGCACTCTTCTATATTTTTGGTATTATTTTTGGTTAATACATTTGCGTATTTTGTTCTTTCGAACCGTATCCACATATGTTGGTTTTCTTCTTTTTAGTTTTGTAGAGGTTCGAAACAGGTAAACAAGTTATCTCCTTTTATTTTATAACTGTAGTTAGTCTTGTAGTTGTTGATGAAACTATTGGAAACCTTCGATACTGCAGTAAGTTTGTTCGTCATTGTCACTTTTTCTCATTTCTCTTATATTGGGATTATCAAATCATATAACTGAAAGCAGGAAAAGGTTCATGGTTCAACTTCTTGCAGCAGATTTTTACAACGAATAAAGGTTTAAAACGATGGTTCAGCTCTAGTTTTTGAACTTGAAGGTTGAACTTTGAATTTGCTTTGGCCATAAAAGTACTGTCCTTGTTGATCCTTCATCTTGGCTGCCCGACTCAGTATCTAACTCAGAAGATATACTTTCCAATTTTGAATCATTTACGTCGCTGTGACTTTTTTGTATTTTATTATATTTGGATCTCTCGGTTCCACTAAATACTTTTCTCTTAATTATTACCAGCTAGTACTCAATATGTAGTTTAATATTACTTATTTTAGCGTTTCGTAATTGGCTAAGTTAGTGTGGAATTTGGCAAAGACGATTACATGAACTGGTTCGAATTTGCAGCTAAGATTTTAAAACAACTGTAACATGCATCGCAATGACATTAATGCTAATACGCTCTGACGTCTTCAACACACTTGCATTGATATATTATTAACTATTATACCAAAGTTTGTTGCACTTATTTAACTAATCGTTGTAATGTTATCAATCATTTTGACTAAAATAATGTGCAGTAAAGTAACTGTATCCGTAAAAAATCTGTTGGGTTAAAATAGCACAGAGAATATTACCTCGATTATGGAAAATCAACAAAAACGAGTTATTGTTCTATTATTAAATCAACAACCGATAACTATCAATCGCGATTGGTAACGAGGATTATTTATGAATTGGTTGATTGGTTTTGTTAATTTTGACTGAGGTTGCATATATCATTGTAAAATATGATTTAAACAAATTTTTACAAAATTGTGCATACATTACATTTTTAAACGTTAATTAAAGTAATTGTAAGTAATCATTTTTATTTTTAAACCAGAAATAAATCATATCATCAAACAATTCGATAGTCTTCGAAGTCGACCGATCCATAAGAAATAATCTCGGCCAACTTCGAAGACTATTTGGATATAGTTGGAGATACTTGGAGCATAACTATTCTTCATGACACTTGGGTTGGGTTGGGTTGGGTTGATAGCTGGATATAAGAAATAATCTCGTGATACTTAAGGCAGCCGACGTTTTCGAAGTCGGCCGAGATTGTTAATATCCAGCTATAAATCCAACCCAACCTAAGTATCACAAACAATACTTATGGCTGATGGCCTGATATAAGAAATAATCTCGACCGACTTCGAGGACTACTTGGAGATAGTTGGAGATACTTGGAGCGGCCGACGTCTTCGAAGTCGGCCGAGATTGTTTCTTATATCCAGCTATAAATACAACCCAACCCAAGTATCAAAAACAATACTTATGGCTGATGGCCTGATATAGAAATAATCCCGGCCAACTTCGAAGACTACTTGGAGATACTTGGAGGGGCCGATGTCTTCGAAGTCGGTCGAGATTATTTCTTATAACCAGCTAAGAGAGAGCCACTTCGAAGATAAGTATTAGTGGTGGAACGGATATCCGGCGACTATCCGGTATTCGGCCTATCCGGCCATTTTTTGAAATACAGCCGGATAAAGGATAGTTACCAAATATCCGGCTCTGGCCGGATATTAAAAACTTACTACTTAGTACTCCACCATTCACAGGAATTAGTATGTCTTTTATTGTTGGACACTGCCGGTAATAATCAAGTTCAACCCCAATAAGACTTTTTCATTGAATACAACTTTATTTATATCAGGTTTGTCATTGGCAACCTCATTGTAACAATCCCAATACAATATATGTATAAAATCTCTTGTTGCAGTTTCCTCTAGTTTTCTTCTCTTCGCTTGTAATTCATCATCACATTCATTACTAACAGAACTGTCACTGTTATCACTTTCGATTATTAATCGAAGTATCCTCTTTTTAATGCAAAAAGCCGTTTTGAAAAATCACTTTTAGTTCTTAAGAAACAAATTTTTGAAATAATCGACAATTTTTTGGAATTTTGCAATTTTCGTGGATTAAGTTTTAAAAATTCGTATAAAATCGATTTCTTGGAATATGAGTATGAAAATTACCCAAAATGTTAATAAAAGTGTCCTCTTTCCAATGAACCAACATGTTTTGAAAAATAACTTTTAGTTTTTGAGAAAACAATATTTGAAGTTTTGATAACATTTTCGATATTGCAATTTTCATCGATAGTTTTCAAAATTCGCTATAAAATTTATTTTTTGAAGGATCCTTGTGGAAATATCACCAATTGTTAATTAAAGTATCCTTTTTTTAATGCAAAAAGACGTTTTGAAAAATCGCTTTTAGTTTTTGAGAAAAATTGTTTTGAAATGATCGAAAATTTTTTAGAATTTTGCAATTTACGCCGATTCTGATTTGAAAATTTGTATAAAATCCATTTCTTGGAATATGAGTATGAAAATTTCCCAAAGTGTTAATAAGAGTGTCCTCTTTCCAATGAACCAACTCGTTTTGAAAAATAACTTTTAGTTTTTGAGAAAACAATATTTGAAGTTTTGATAAATTTTCGATGTTGCAATTTTTATCGATATCTTTCATAATTCGCTATAAAATTAATTTTTTTAAGGATCCTTGTGGAAATATCACCATTTATTAATTAAACTATATTCTTTTTAATGCAATAAGCCGTTTTGAAAAATCACATTTAGTTCTTGAGAAATAGATTTTTGAAGTAATCGATAATTTTTTCGAATTTTTCAATTTTCGCCGATTAAGTTTTAAAAATTCGTATAACATCCATTTCTTGGAATATAAGTATGAAAATTTTCCAAAGTGTTAATAAAAGTTTCTTCTTTCCAATGAAGTAACCCGTTTTGAAAAATAACTTTTAGTTTTTGAGAAAACAATATTAGAAGTTTTGATAAAATTTTCGATGTTGAAAAAATTCTGAAATGCACCAGAAATTATAACCATAATGGNAATAACTTTTAGTTTTTGAGAAAACAATATTAGAAGTTTTGATAAAATTTTCGATGTTGAAAAAATTCTGAAATGCACCAGAAATTATAACCATAATGGCCGGATAGATATGCCGGATATCCGGCCGAAGGGGATGCCGAATATCCGGTATCCGGCTTTTCCAAAATCACTATCCGTTCCATCACTAATAAGTATATTTAAATGTAAATCTTAGCGTTCGTAGATAGAATCCAACTCGGGTTATTCCTCAAGTTGCTCTATTCCATGTTCATAGATAAACTCGGGGTATTCCCCGAGTCATCTATACGATGTATAAATTCAAGGACGATAGTTCTAGCTTTAATTGTTATTCAGTGCTAGATTGTTGTATATTTTTGTTGAACCAAAAGTGGAACTAGCACTAAACCTATAACTAAAAACATTCGGGTTTAGCCGTGGCTAAACCCGAATGTTTCTGAGCGGTGTGGAAATTATTCATTCAAACAGTTTAAAGTAAAGTTTAAAGATGGAAATTAAAATGGAAGAGCTTTCTGAAAACGAAGATATAAATTTGCTTCACTTCATAGAATCGCGAAAGGAAACAGGATTTTCACTATGTTTATTATGTAAATCTAGTTAATAAATTTATTATTTTTTCTCGTCGTTTATTAACTTCCCAGTCAATCACATGCTAATTGTATTCAATTAACACCTCATCAATTTATAATTGCATTAATGTTTTCTCAATGACCTTAACAACTTATTTCCCAACAATTTCTTTACTAAAATATTTTGGTTTCTTTTTACAGGGTAACAGGAGTGCACAAAGGAGATTTGGTTTCGTAAGTACATGTTTTCAATGATAATTTATCTTCTTCATTTCATATATGTAATCGCTTATAAATAATAAAAATTATTTTTTAAGTGGAATAACCGCAATTTAAAGAAGAAAAATTGTACAAAAGCAAGTAAAATTTTCTTTATAACATACATTATAATTTAACCGGAATTTATTACCTTTTTATCGTACGTATCAATTATTATACATAACAAGATAACGTACATACAATGCATATATAAAAACATTCCCCTCGTCTTATTACCGCGTTAATTTACTGCTAAAAAGTTATCGATCATACCGGTGCCCGTAATAAATTATTACCTACGTACACATGAAACGGCGTGTTCCGGAATTATAGCCAACCTAACCAAAAACTGATTGGATCCGTTCGATTAAACGAGAGAACATCTGTCTGTTCATTTTAGTGATACCTTCGTGTCACCGGTCGCATACCATCTCTTTTCAACCCGTTCTTTGAGACGTACCCGAAAGAGAAAAATATAAAAGTATAAATGCGAACTAATCGAGTGGGTAGAACGGGTCAATTAAGATCTATTAATTGCGATGAGAAAACTCTCATTCAAAAAATTATAATAAATAACCGGACGTTCGATTTTATTGTCAGTCTTTCGCCGTTATCGCTATCCGATAACATCCTTTAATTGCTTGTGCGGTTTAATTTAGTTTTCAGTTAATCGATTTCGACTGAAACAAGAACGAGATATATAAATAAAATAAGAAATGTTATATATGCAGGTGATATATAATAATTGAATAGTGAACAAACGATGGGCAAAAACGGTACAACTTTTTCGTTAGAAGGTAAACAAGCGGTATCTGTGCAAACTGGGGTATTGTGCTATTTCATCTAACAACCTGAGGCGAGGATGGAACAGAGACGTTGGATAACGGCGGGGTCCATTCAATTTTGTACCCGGCGAAAATACTACAATAAATACACCGCATCTGTACCGAAATATGTAATTGATTTGTCACACCGTGTTGGGTAAATATTTGCCTTACGGCCAGACCGATTATGATCCGGGGCTTTTTGGAAAAATGGATGGTCGTTTATTGTTGAGCCAGCTGAATTTATGAGTTGCTAAAAATTGAGGTGAATACTATAGACAACTAAATTCAAATTGATACAATGGAAATTTCTGAATTAAGAACTAAATGTTAGTGTTTATACAGTTTAAAAATTTAATGTTATTAGAAATAAAATTAAAACTAGAAATTTCCGGGTTGAAAATTAGCTAAAAATTCACCTCTGAATTTGTTGCTGAAGAAGGTGGCAAAATGGTATCCAAAACGTAGAAATAAAATCAAAAATAATTTAGATTAAATTGACTATAACTAAAGAACGGTTTGACGGATTTTAATGTTTTATGTCAAAATTACAGCTTGGGTCTAGCTAAAAAATCACTATTTAATCTAATTTTCACATATCTGATTTTTTCTGGATATTTATGCATCTGCGAGCAATATTGTTAAGAATACAGTTTGCTATAACTTTTAGACTAAAACATTTTTTTCCAAAATGTTCCTAACACCATGCCAATATTACCTAAATTATAGTTCATACGTGTATAAAGTACGAGTGTCTTACGGTATCTTTCTAAGGACTGTAAAAGGTAATGGTGAGAATTGAGATTAGGAATTTTGTAATTTCGATAAAAGAAACTAAGTCGAATCGAAAGACGTATAGATCTTGATAATCGTATATAATTTACGACTTATGACCATCTAAGAAAGTCATTTTTGTGTTATTTTCGTGTACTTTGACAATATTTTGGCGTTTTAGTGAAATTCGAAAGAGATTTCGAATCGGGCCATTTCCACTTTCGTATTTGCCAAGGATTACGCTTTCGAATGAGATATTGCTTCACAAAATCGGTTGAGAGGTTCTCTTGTTATAATAAAAAACTGTACATATAATCAACAACAATTTTAGTTTGATTTCTTATAAAACCGGCCATGAATGCTTACAAATTTAGGAATACAATATTAACTGCCTATATAATAACTGCAAGTACATGATGTAAGCCATTCTTCACTTTTCTGCGTATTACATAAGAATAAATTTAAACCGTTCAAAATTTAGATAATGCGTAAATTAACTCAAGATGACTTCATATTAATTCAATGGAAATTTTTGAATTATGAACTAAATATTAGTATTTACACAGTTGCTGTATTTTATAAAAGATTTAAAAAGTTAATGTTATTAGAAATAAAATTAAAACTAGAAATTTCCGGGTTGAAAATTAGCTAAAAATTCACCTCTGAATTTGTTACTGAAGAAGGTGGCAAAATGGTATCCAAAACGTAGAAATGAAGTCAAAAATAATTTAGATTAAATTGACTATAACTAAAGAACTGTTTGACGGATTTTAATGTTTTATGTCACAATTACAGCTTGGGTCTAGCTAAAAAAAACCACTATTTCATCTAATTTTCACAGATCTGATTTTTTCTGGATATTTATGTATCTGCGAGCAAAATTGTAAAAGAGCAATATTGTTAAGAATACAGTTTGCTATAACTTTTATACTAAAACATTTTTTCTGAAATGTTCCTAACACCATGCTTAGATTACCTAAATTATAGTCCATACGTGTATAAAGAACGAGTGTCTTGCGATGTCTTTCTGAGAACTGTAAAAGGTTAATGGGGAGAATTGAGATTGGGCATTTAGTAATTTCGATAAAAGAAACTAAGGCGAATCGAACGACGTATAGATCTTGATAATCGAATACATCCTTTGAAGATTTGAATTTAGTTAGACGACAATATCGTTAACATGTGTGGTGATTTTATTCGCCATAATATAAGGTATTGGAATGATATACTCGTAAGTCCTCACTGGATTCGTGAAAACCGTACTCAAAGACCACAAAAGTTAAATGTATGGTCGGGTATAGTGAATACTCAGTTAATTGGGCGTTTCTTTATCGAAGGAAACTTAGCAGCTTTCAATAAGACGTAGCTGTTGCACAACTCATTTTGGCGTAAATGTTCGGCGTTATCTAGATGAGGTATTTTCTGGACAATGGATTAGTAAACGAGGTAGATTGATTGGCCTCCACGTTCACCAAATCTCAATCCTAAATACCACTTTTCAAGTATCCTCAATAAAACGCTTAATTAAGTAGGCATTATGTATTTTAGTAATTTGGTTGATTAAATTGATACGTTAAGTGCTCCATAAGATTTAGCTTGTATTGAAGGGTAGATTATGTTACGTTTGGAATCCCCGTATCCATTTCTTACACAACTAAAAACTAAAAAAATCTATTCTGGGGCAGGAAGACTCAGGTTTATAGCCCTTTTGGGCTTATCTTATATTTGTTTTATATATATATGTGTAAGTCCAAATAAATATTGTTCTCTCTCTCTCTCTCTCTCTATTCAGGTCTTTATTCTTTTTGCTGATATAAATAGGTTATACGATACGGAGTTTGTTTTCTAAATGTAGTACATGTACAGTCTGACATATTTAATCATGTAGTACACTAAAACCGTAGCTATTACAGGTACGTGATGTTTTTCATAAATTCGATACAATTCACAAGCATATGATGTGCCTTCATCTACATATTTCAATAAACCTGACCGCTGCGCTGTCTGAATTTTGGCCAGTTCTGCATCTAACATTTTCATCAAGCTTATGTGGCAGTTCTTATCTTTTCTGCAGAATCTGTATTTCTCATAATTGCCAGACAATAGTAGTTTTACTATTGTTTGATCACAGTCAGTGTCAGTGTCCTTTTTTGAATATGATCAACACACTTAACATTTTTAAGTCTAACCTATTTGCTTTTTATCACATACTGATTAGTGAGGTGTTGAGTCGATTAGCATAACAGCGTTTTCCATGATTAGACCTAGACTTATTGGGATTGCTTTTATAATTTGAACAAAATATAAATAACACCAATTCTGCGTCAAAAACAGTAAAGTACAGTAAAAAGTACAGTAGTAAAATTTTAACCGACTCATTTTTGGTCCATTTGTTTAAAAAATTCCTTAATATGTGCACAAATACTATAAAATTGGTTTATTTTAAATATGAATGATGACTGTTATTAAATTGTTAGATCGTTATATATTCGTTTTTAATATCTGTGATATTAATATCTGTAATATTAAAATATTACTATTTAATTCCGAAACAAATCAAAGAATCATAAATTATTCAACAAATTTGCCATCAAAATTAGCTTAACTTGAAGAATATACAGTTACTTTTTTTGAATTTGTTTAAAAACAATTATAGAAATTTGTAAGCAAAATCGTATTTCAAAGTTGAATTCCAAAATTTGCATTTCTGTATCTTGTATAATCTTTAAAGACTTAATTAAGAATCATTTTAATATTCAAGAAATGTTTGAGTGCTATAAATTGTGTTCGATTCTTAATCGAGTTTATAGACTGTTAAATATTTATTGCTACTCCGATCGCCATCTAGTAGTTGTGGTTGTTCCTGGTACATGTTCTTTAACTTGATTTTGTGAATTTAGAAACGTATTCAACTGTTTAGACTTAAATCTAAACCTGAGATGGAGGTTCGTGAAATGTTACGTGTGATTGATGCTTCTGTATGGAGTGGAAAGGTGGACCTTGGAAACAAGAGTAATAAATAAATTGGAATATGAATATATGGATATTATATAATATGAATATAAGCTATAATCCATACTTGGAGGAATATAGAAGAAATGGGTCGCAAACATCCATTTATGGATAAGCATTGCAAGAATAAGAAGATAGACTAATGATCATTCAGCTGCATAAAAACTACTGTCTTGTGGACAAGATAAATATTTAAGTTTGTTTTGGCTAAGTTCCACCTATTGGTGAACTTTGTTAAAAAGTTCTTTCGAATTTTCCATGCAATAACTGTATGAAGCCAGTTTCTTATCTTCATCGAAGTGGAGCATCGCAAACGTTGCAACCTGTTTCCTCTCAATATAATCCAATTAGATAAGAAACTTATGT